AAGAGAAAGAGTGGGACCACCTGCCATATGCCTGCTGCACGGATGTGGACACCGAGTCCCAAAACAGGAGACATGACAGCTGGCTGGGGGCCCGGCCTGCTGACCTCGTGCCCCAAAGGCTCGGGCCGGGGCGCCCGAGCGCGGCCATGTCCCTCCCCTTCTGTGCAGGGGACCCGGCTTTTCCTCTGGGGACCACAACTGAGAACGAGGCCTGGGGACCTTGAGTGAGTCCTGGATCCAGCCGTGCCTGAAACCCACCCTCGGGCTTCCCAGCCGCATTCATAAAGGCTCTCCTTGTTCCCCAGCCACATGCATTAGGTTCCTGCCCCAGAGTCCAGCCGGCTCCCTTAGCTTCAGCGGGTTTTAGGTAACGGGGTCCTGTTGAAACATGTTCACAGAACAAAGTGTCTGAGCAGGGGCCGCTGCCTGAGAGTCCACGCCTGTCTGTCCCCGCAGCCACAGCGGGGAGGTAGGCGAGGGAGCGGGGCAAGAATAGCCAGTGAGACAGCGTTGTGACTCAGCTCTGTGACAGATCTTAGAAAGTTCACTCACACTCCTACCTCTAAAATACATTCTGATAGGAACAATGACATGGCCAAAATGCAATGTTATCTTTTTCCTCGTTGATTGTCTCCTGTTGGATAAAGTGGGTCACTGCGTGTTTCAAAGCGCACATTTCCCTGAGACTCAGTAATCAATACTCAATAGAAAGCAGTGGTCAAGGGCATGGACCAGGGCCCAGCCCGCCTGGGTCTGGGCCCAGCTCCAGCGCCTCCGGGCTGCGCGACCTTGGGCACGTCGCCCGGACTCAGTGCCTCGGTTTCTTCATCTGTGAAACGGGGGAGGTGCCAGCCGTCCCGTCAGGGACCTGCCAGGAAGGTCAGGTCGGTTATGGCATGAAAACCAGCCAAGAGCGGAGGCTGCCACACACAACGTGGCATACAGTCGGCATCATCTGGACGTTGCTAGCGCCGTCCTCACACGTTTCCGCGCTTCTGACCAGGAGGGCCAGCGAGCAGACGGAGAGCCAGCCGCTTCCTCTGCGGGAAAATACGCAGCCTGATTTGAGCGTCTCGTTACAATTACATAATGCTAATTGCCGGCTTTGTGTTCCATTTGGCAACTTGTTAAAGCAATTGAACAAAATATAACTAATGAACAATTATAATGAAGTTCATAATTAGGTTCTTGAAACACTTGATAGGGAAAATATTTCAGGTGCTTCTTTTTAAAGTCATTTTTTTATCTTCAGTTACAGCTGACGTGCGACAACACTACATCCATCTGAGGCGTACAGCCCAATGACTAGGCATTATATTGCTTACCAAGTGACCGACCCGATCATCCCGTGCCCAGCCGGCACCTTCTGGCCGTGGTGAGTAGTGCTGCCGTGGACGTGGGCATCCAAACGCCGGCCTGAGTCCTTGCCTTCGATCCTCTGGGGCCTCGCCTGGGAGCGGAACGGCTGGGTCTCGTGGTGACTGTTTCCCTTTCTGGGGAACCATGAAAATCTTTCTGCAGGGGTGGCCCCATTTCACGCGCTCCACCCCCAGCAACACAAAAGGGCCCTGATACGTGCATGCCCGCGCCAAACTCAATCTTTGGCACGTGTACAAAAGCTCCCGTCGCCAGCGCGTGGGTCAAGACAGAGGACGTGCCCTGTGCCGCGGACGGCACCCTCGCGGGCCTGGGAGTTGTTGACAAGCTCCCCGGGCCCCCGGGGCCAAGAGCCGTGCCCCTCCGCCCCTCGAGGCTCTCTCTCTGGGAAGGCTGGCTGACTCCCAACCTAAAAATAAACCTCGGCTCCAAAGAGCGAATGTTAAAAATGACCTTGTCACCTTGACAGAGTGGCTAATGACGCCGCTCGGGCAGAGGCCCATCCATCAAGGGCTGCGCCTTCCGACTGGGGCCTGGGGAGCGGAGGGAGAGTCCAGGATGCAGAATGGGGTGGGGCAGAGTGGCCGCCACTGCCGTGCCCAGGCCCCCGACACCCTGGTCTCCGCCTCCGGCCCCCCCGCCCCCCGCACAGCGAGCACGAAACCCAGCAGCCAGGCAGAAGGGCTGACCTCCCCGAATCCAATTTGCAGGGTCAACCATGCAAGAACCCAGGCCTAATAGAATTGTCACATCTGCGTCGCAGCCATCAACACGAGCGTGCTGGGTCTGAACACGGGAGCAATTACGTGACGTGGACTTTGGCAAGAACCCGACGGTCCCACCGGCGGAGAGCGCGCTACCGAGGCACATTGTTTTGGAAAGAAAGAAAAGACAGAAAGCCACAAGGACACATCCATTCTGAGAGGCTGGAAAACCTCCGCTCCTCAAGACGTCCCTGAGGAAGACCGAGCTGCAGAACCCTCTGGAAAGCACCCTGTCTTAAGAGTAGAAATATCACCCTTTCCAAAACCCCCAGTTTCAATCATGCGGGAACAATGGGGCGCGCCGTTCCCGGAACATTGTCTTTTAAAGTTTCATGACACAAGAATTGATGCCCCTCCAAATCTAATTAGAGCCGAAGCACGTGACAGGGTTGGTGGCACTGCCAGAAGGACTCGGAGACCGCACGTGGCCGCTGACGCTTTCCACAGAGATACGATTTTTTAAAAAAATCAATCTAGACACTCAAGAATGACCGCCTCCCCCCCCCCCCCCCCGGGAAAAAAAAGACCACAAAATGAGATTTATTCAAAAAAGGATTCCTTCCATTCTTTTGGGAGCTCTTCCCGGGAAGAGGGTCCGTGCCGGCCAGGCGCACGTCCCGGGCCAGCTCGGCCGCGCGGGCGAGACCGCCCCGACGGCACCACGAGCGGGTGGAAGGAGCCTGGGCTCTCTGGCGACCTTGTGAGGCAAAGCCACCCAGCCCCCCGGCCAGCCCACTGTCCCCAGGGCTGTTACAAGAGAAAACTCTTTCCCAGCTGAGCCGGATCTGGGGGTGTTCGTGACGGCGGCCCAGCCTGCGCCCCAGGGACTGCACCCACACTCCTGTGAGCCACGGCCCCTCTGCAGGCTGGGCCCGGGGGCCGGGAGCGTCGTCCCGTGAGGCGCTCGCCTGGGGCACCTGAAGACCCGAGGGAAGGGTCCCCTTCATCCCGTGGGGCCCCAGGGGGGCTAGGAGGTTGAGGAGATACTTCTCCCAAGACGTGGCAGGTTTGGGGCCTCTGCCAAGGGCTCAGTGTCCAGATGAACGAGCAAACCCGGGGGCTTCCAGGGTTCAGAGGGCAGGGGGCGGGCCAGCTGACAGGGCTGCAGGAGGAACTGAAAGCCGGCCCGAGCAGCTGCGCGAACGGAAGGCGGCGAGGCCAGGCTCAGCCACCCGACTCCATCCGGTGCTTCCTTAGGGGGGGCTGCCAGGCCAGAAGTGGGGGACGGGCCATGCAGGGGGGAAGGAGCCCTCCAGCCTCATGGAGGTTCCTGGAGGGAGGAAGGCAGGCGCTGAGGAGGAACGGCTCGCGGGGCCTGCAGGGCAGTGGGGAGGAGCGGGACCACGGAATCACAGTGGCCTGTCCGGCTGAACCGCAGACCCACAGCAGCCTGAAGCGGCTGGGGTCGTGCACGGCAGGCACCGCAGAGAGGGAGAGGCAGCTGGCCGCGGGGGCGCGGGGGGCGCTCTCTAAGCGTGATGCTGAGGCCGGGGCGTGCGGGTGGCTCTGGCTCCCCACCATCTGCTTCCCATTAATGAAGCTGTCCCACGTGCCTTATTAATAAGGACGTGCGGGCTCAGCCGGCGTAGACAACTTGCCGAACTAAAGGGCACGGCGAGTGAGCCTTAACAGCTCCTCGGTCACCGTGGGCAGGTCCCAGGCCTGACCCGAGCCCCGGCGAGAGGGCCGGCAGGCCAGTCGGCCAGCCACGTGGCGGGGTGAGCCCAGGCTGGGGCACGGTCAGCTTCCAGGGCTCTTCCTGCTCAAGGCTCATACGTCCCTGACAACCACGCTGGCCCCCTGAGGGTGTCCACGTCCCAACACCCAGAACCTGTGAAAATGTTAGCTGGGAAATTTACAGCGGCAGATGAGACTAAACTTACTGGCCTGTAGATGGTAAAACAAGGGCGATTAACCCGGATTCTTCATGTGGGCCTGTGTCATCATGGGGTCCTAGTACGCGGACAGGGCGGGAGGGCCAGACACCGCAGGGTGGGGTAAGGAGCCAGCAGCCGGGACGCAGGCGGCTGGAAAAGGCAGGGAGCCGTTTCTCCGCAAGGACCTCCAGGAGGCACGCAGCCCTGGCGACGCCTGGGTCGTAGCCCAGTGAGACCAAGCCCAGCAGCTTCCGACTTCCAGAACTGTTGACAATGTGTGTCGTTTCAGGCCGCTACGTTTGTGGTGTTTTGTTCCAGCAGCAGCAAGAGACTAATATAAAAAGGGAGTAAGTGCTGTTTTAAGTACTGCCAGACCCCTTTGCAGCGAGGGGTGCCATGTGGCCCGCTCTGGCCATGATGCAGAAGCACACGGGCACTGAGTGGGGTTTCCTGGAAAGCCATTGTTCTGCTGACAAAAAAGGTAGGGGGCTTCTGTCCTCCCATCCAGCTCTTCTGCCAGGAACACACCGACAGCCAGAAGGCAGAGAAGGCTGGACACCGTGGCACCAGCCCTGGGACAGCAGCCAGCCTCCAGCGTCCTGGGATGGGAGAAGAACCAGCCCTACTGGGACTTGCAGCCGGACATGACCCAAGGGACACGTGGCTCTTGCAATGACAAGAGTTGTTGCCCAGACGCCAGCCCAGAGCCGCAGGGGGGCCCAGGTGAAGACATTATCACCTTCTGGGGTGTGGCTTCCCACTGAGAAGCATTCTGGGTCACTAGGTCACGAGGGACCCAGGAAATGTCCCAAACATTTGGACCAACCATCTGGCCCAGAGCATGGCTCCCAGCTGTCCCACCAGCACAACCAGCTTCCTGCCTGTGGTACCGGTCACCCCTTCAGAGAAAAAATGCAAGCACACTGAACATGGAGTATGTGCACATACACATATACATTTATTTATTACATTAATTTCCTCATGGCAATTTCCCCCATGTATTTTTATAATCCGGAAGAGATTCAAAATAGGATTTCATTGTGCTCCATTTTAAAAAATACAAAAACGACCATTAGGGTTATAGGAATACGCTGACCTGAAGAGAACATACAAACCACCTGGCTCTCACACCCGGGACGTGATTGGCAGGCACCATGACACCTTGCACAGGCGCGGAGCCCTCGTGTGGAGAAGCTCTGTCTGTCAGGGTCCGCTGCCGGGGGCGGGGGGTGGCCCGCGTCCCCGGGAGCAGCACCGCCCACAGGCTGGACATTCAGTTCTCCACACACCCACACACCAGACAACTCACAGTAGATTGTTAAGCCAGTCGAAGTCCACGAAGCGCAGGGCCCTGTGGGAGCAGGGAACCCACGCACCCCCGCAAGCGCCCCTGCCGTTCTCCAGGCAGCGCTGGCCATCTGTCTGGGCTGACACACAGTTCCCCCGGGAACGGCACATGTCCCGGCCGTCACAGGATGCACGGCGGCGGGGGAAGTCATGCTGGGCCACACTCGGTGACAAGTGCCGAGCAAGGGAAGACGGAGGGACCCGGAAGGACAACGGCCGGAGCCGGAGACCAGAGCCCAGGGAGGAACCAACCTGCGCCCCAGCGGTGTGGAGTGGACCCAGAGGGAGGCCGAGGGCAAGGCAGCTCCGCAGGGGTGCGCTGGCGGCAGAGGCCCGGCAGCGCCCCACGCGTGACCGCGCGCCTGGCTGGACTGTGCACACAGGCAACGGGCAGCCCCTCCGGCGCGCACGCCAGGGCACACGTGCAAGGACGCGCTCGCACGCACTGCCACCCCTCCCCCACGTGCCCTGTCAGCCTCCAGGCGAGGATGGCGTGCTGCGTGCGGCACCCCGGGCACCCCCACACGGACCACAGACTCTCCCCAAGCCCACAGACGCGGGGCAACCCCCCTGAAGAGAGCTGCGGAGTCTCGGCAACTCCCTGGACACAAGCACTAGGGCGCGGACACGCGTGGCTGGGAGGCGCGGGGTCAGAAGCCCTGCAGCTCGGGGATGCGCCAGTACAAATCCAGGGTCTCGGGGTTCGCGAAGGCCCCGCGGTACTCCACGGCCTTCCCGGCGATCATCTGCTGCACGGCCACTTCCACCTTCTTGCCGGTGAGGGTGTACTGTCGGGGGGGAGAAGATACAGAAACAGTTTACCTGGCGGGGAAGGCGCACAGGGACCGGCCGGCCTCCGCCCCCAGTCCCGCGCCCACCTGCGGCCGCGGAGGCGCAGACAGCCTGCCACCAGGGCCAGCAGATGAGCCTTCCGCCACCATGGCTGGGGCCTGGGGGTCGGCTCCTGGCCTGAGCCTCTTCCTCAAACGCAAAATGGGAGCGAGGGCGCCTCCCCGAGGCTGGGAGGGAGGGAGCACAGCTCCCAGGAGGGCCTCGCGGTGTGTTCTGTTCTCACCTCACTGTTTATGGTTATCCGATTACACTCCATGGTATTATAAGGACTAGCTATGGCTTCGTCACCGATGGCAACCAGAGACTGAGCTTCACCCAGAACCCCACCAAGCTCTTGCAAAGTGTTCTCCCCAGGGGCGTGCATCTGAGCGGCGGGGGCGTGACTTTCCCTCGTCACCCGTGGGCATGTCACCTGTGGGCTTTATCTGGGATCCCAAAAGCACTGGTGTGGTTAGGTACCAGGAAGCTTCTAGAAAAACAGAGCCCTTTAAAAAAGCCACTGGAACCCTGATCTCTTCTCACCCGCAACATAAATATATTTTTTAACCTGTAGGGTGATGAAAGCTCACTTGTTTGAAAAATTCAGTCAAAGCATGAGCTAGTTAAGGACCTGCACGCTGGCTTCCGAGGGGCCGCCTGTCACTGCCGCGCCCTCAGCCTGTCGCCGGGACTGTCGCCGGGACAGCAAGCGTCTCAGGTGCTCTAAGTGTGTCTAAGCTTCACACAGGGGCTCCAGGGGAGCCGATAACTCGCATCTTCTGTCAATGGACAAAACAAACGCATGATGTCTCAGAGGAAACGCTGATACTGTCTCCTCCGGGGAGCGGGGCTGGGGAGAGGCAGGAGCTCCCGGGAGGGAGTCGGGGGGCCGGGCAGCTAAACTGGGAGCCAGGACAAGGACGCGCTGGGTCAGGGCAATCGTGTGAGCCTGGCGACGCCTCAGGTGCCTGGAGCCCATCCCCCTCCTCTGTGACCCACTCCAGGTCCCTGTGGCTGGGCCGGACCCTCCCCAGCTCCGTGACACACAGAGCAAGTCCCCTCCTAAATGCTCCCCCATCGCAGACCACGGCGGTCTGAAAACGCCTGAAAAATTCCCGGTAACCCTCAGCATGACTTCTGTCCCCAGCTGGAGAGAGGACAGCTCAGAGCTGACGGGGCCCCCGTGAACTGAGGACGGCGAGGCAGAGGACGGAGGCCGAGGCTGGGGCGCGTCTCTCTCGGAAGCCGTCCCGCGTTCCCATATGCGGGTGCACTCTGGACGCGGCCACGCTGCCGGGAGGGGAGCCGGGCTCTCTCAGGGAAGCCCAGAGCGCAAAACCAGAGTCCAGTCCCCCAGCTGCACCCGCCGGCTGCAGGCAGGGCCGCCTCACTCAAGGACGCCGGGACTCCGTCGGGAAAGACAGGAAGGGCCACGGGCTCCAGCGGCTCCTCTCCCGAGAGCCCGCGTCTCCACAGAGTCGCCAAGGGTCAACCAAGGGAGAAAGAAGCGTGTGGGCACTGTCCAAAAGCAGCGAGCATGCAGCCGGGGAGCAGGGCCCCCGTGAGCACCGGCGCACCGTGGGCCCGCGGGGAGCCGCCCCTGCACCCCCGCCCCCCAGGATGGGTTCTGAAGGCATCACTAGGACCTCAAGGCGGAGACAACCACCTCAGTGGCTCTAGGAGTCAAGGGCAGCGCGTCCCTCGGTGTCTCCCGAGAGCCACGTCTCGGGTCAGGCCTGCCTCGAGTGGCACCTTCCGCCTGCCAGCCCGGGAGCAGCCACTCTGCAGGCTGGGGGGCAGCCTGGCTCATCTGTGCGTTTGGAGGACTGCTGAGCGCACCTGCGCACACACACGCGCACAACACTTTCTTCTCTCAGCGGACAGGTCGCTGTCTTGTGCACAGCGCAGGTAACAGCTGCGATGCCCCTGGGCCCTCCTCCCCCACCCCGGGCCTGAGCAAAGCACGCAGGCGGCCTGGCTCTCAGGGCCTCTGCGCAGGCCCAGGCCTTTCTGTAGGCGGAGCGTAAAGTGAAAAGGCAAGCAGCCGCCCACTGCACCCCAGCGGCTCTGTAAAAAGTTAGAATTAATTTCCTCATTAACAATTTAGAGAACACACCTCAGCGGCATCAGGGAGATGCCAGGGGGCCATGCAGGGCCGGGCCTGCTCACCCTCTGAACGGCAGCGGGAAGCGCTGCAAATTGTGATGTAGGAAGGGTCTTTACAAAAGTGATGGCAGGAAAGAGAAAAAGGACCTGTTGCCAGGCAACGGGGACACACTCTGTATGAAGCCTGAGCACGCCTGCAGCGTGCATGCTAGAGCGCAGGGCTGCGGGGAGATGCTGCTGCCGGGGGCGGGCGGGAGAGCCCACGGGCGGCCATACCGGGATGCCCTTGGTCTCCAGGATGATGCTGGGCACGTGCCGGGCCGAGAGGCCGACGCGGATGGCGTCTTGGATGCGCCTCACCAGGTCCGGCTGGAAGCTGTGCCCGGGGGCCATCTTCAGGAAGAGGACTACCCTCTCCTCTCTGTCCTTGTTGTGCTGGGGGACACAGAGGCTGTCCATCACCTCCTCGAAGCCTTCCACTGTGGAAACAGGGGACACGTGCTCCAGCTGTTTGGCCGCGGCCGTCTGGCCCAGAGGGACGGAGGGGGAACCCGTCACTGCTCCCGCCTCCTGGGACGAGCGCGTGCGGGGGGGGGGGCGGCCCCCAGTGCGGGGACAGAGAGCTTCGCTTGAGCTGCATGTTTTGCAAGGAGGCCACATGCAGCCCTTCCTGTGCCAATCGACTAAAAATCCGAATGGAAGCACGAGCCCGCGGCAGGGCCGGTGGGAAGGGCAAAGGCTGGGAGGGAGCCGACACCCCCACCAGGTGGCACCGCCAGCCTGGCAGAGCTCACCGTGAGCAGGTGACGGGACAGGGACGGGGACTGGCCATGTGGCCTTAAGGTCCCCTCCTGGGGTTTCATGAGCTGTAAGCAATGCGGACGAGGCGTGTCCGGTAAAGGACGCACTCATAAACGTCCGCCTCACGGCAGGAGGCAGAGGGGCCAGCTTCTGCCAAGAGGTGAGACGTTTGGAAAGCAGGTCCCTGGGCTCCCGCCAGGGCGCCCCTTCCTCCCCGGATGACGTGACAATAACCCGGGAGAAAGGGGAACCGCGTACCGATGTTATAGATTTCCGAGCTGCCGAACCGCACTCCATTGGGGTTGAGCGTGCCGTCGCTGGAAAGAGAGACCAGGCCATGAACTCGTGGCGGCTCGCCCCCTTTCCGCATGGCGACACCGGGACCAGCCCAGGAAGGCTGGCATCCCCATGCCTGATCCCCGCCAGCCACCCCTCTTTCTCTCTCTGAACTCAAGGCCAGAGATCAGGGCGGCGCCCTCCACATGGGCACACCCGCCACCTCACGGCACCTTCCCCCCGCGCACGGGTCCTCCCTGCCCCCTGTGCCGTGGGCCCCGAGACCCACGAACCCCGACCCCATCCCGGAAGAGCTGTTGCCCCTGTCGACGGTCACCGGCTGTGCCTTTCAACTGGACCTCCCCTCATGCCCCAGCCCCGTCTGGGGCACAAAAACGTGAAAGAGGCCGCGGGAAACTGATGCAGGAAGTGCCTCCGGGAGGGGACCAGGGCAGCGAAGCCCCACGGGCCTCACCTCCGGCCCAGCAAGACGATGCCCCCGGTCTTGGGGTTGATCCTGCAGTAGTCGCCTTGCACCCAGACACCTGCAGGGGCAGAAGTGCGTGGTCACCCGGGGGACAGGGCCCTGGCGGGGCCCATGGCAGGCACGACAGCGGCAGGGCGCCCAGCAGTTTGGTGACACGAACGTGGCAGCCGACCACGCGGTTTGGGCGGGGCCTAGCGGAGCCAGCCGGTCCCACCCCGAGGGTCCGGCACCTGCGCGGCCGCCGCACGCCTGCTCCACGAGCGCCCGCGTTCTGGAAATGCGCCTCCTGCGGGCCCCACTGGGCCAGGGGGACACAGAGGGTGGGGCCACTCCCGCGGGGCAGAGGGGAAGTGGGGGTCTGGGGGCCCGTGGGAGCTTTGGGGGAGGGCCCTCTGAGTGATGGCGGACGGGGGGGGGGGGGCCGGGGCGGGGGAAGGAAAGGCCCCAGGGCCTCAGGAAGAGGTACGTTCCACCGCGCAGGTCACCGGCCATATCCTGGCTCTGCACGTGGGGCTCATGCACAATCACGTGCAGCTTCCAGAGGGCGCGGGCACAGGCCCTGGCAGGAGCCCCCTGGGGCAGAGCCCACAGAGCCGCCGACTCGGGGTAGCGGCCACGCCTCATACTTGCTCCCAGGAAGAGGGCGGGGGCTGGGTCAGAGCTTTAAAGCAAGGTGCCCAGGGGGTCTGTCCGGGGAGGGACGGACCCGGCTGGGGGCCGGTCCCCCGCAAAAGCGTTCTTCCCCCAACTGAGCGACTTCCATGGAGACTGAGTGAAGGGCTGTGGGGCAGAAAGGCAGGGTCCCAGCCAGGCCCCTCGCTCTGCCAGGCAGACGGGGAATGGGGTTCGGTTCCACCACGGGGCCAAGGCGCTCTGGGCAAGATGCAACTAAAGCCAGATCGCGGCTTCCAGCCAAAGTGGCGAGGTGCCGACCCGAAGGTCACGCCACCCCACGGGCGGAAGGAGCTGTGCGGGCCGCTCCGGGCTTCGGCAGGGGTCGGCACCGGACGCGGGAGGCCCGCCCGGCCCGGCCCGGCCTGGCCCGGCCCGGCCTGGGGGGCTCAGGGGGCTCGGGCGGCTCGGTCTGCACCCCACACACCTGGGAACTTGGAGAAGTAGGCCTTCCTGTACTTGCTGCCATTCTCATCGTTCCAGAAATGGGTGGGCTGGGAGGGGAAGGGCCTGGTGCACACCAGCTCGCCGCTCTCTCCCCACACGGCCTTCCCTGGTTTGGGGGGATTCAGAGGTGGGCGGGCAGCACACGGCCACCTCCCGGCGCGGCGCCCCCCCCCCCCAGCTTCGGTCTTTCCCTCTTCCTCCCGTCAGCGGGGCGCCTCACCGCCCCCTTCACGTCCCATTGGGCGAGGGTCACAGCAGCGGCAGGACAACACGGCAAGTCCCTGAAGGGGCCCTGTCCAAATGCCGCGCACCAGGTCAGTTGGCGCCGGAGACCCAAACAGGCTTTGCTGATTCATGGCCAATGGCCGCGACCAACTAGGAAGCCAAAGCCTGTCCTGAGGCAGCAGAGGGGCCCACCAGCTGCCCTCTGGGTCCCCAGCCAGGGACAGGTGGCAGGCGAGCAAGGCCACGGGGCCGCCTCCTCAGCATGTAAAGGCTCGGGTGCTGGGGTCGGGGGGATGGGGGAAGAGCAGCTGCCCACCCGCTTCTCCTGAGCTCCCAGCTCCACCTGTGCCCCGCCCGACACCTCCTTCTCGGGTGGGCGGGCCAAAGGGGCCGGGGCTGGGGAGCCCCGGGGCTGTTAAACCAGCACCGAGGGACGTGGGTCTGCAAGCGGCAGGGGCGCAGACACCGACCGAGCAAGGGCGCACGCCCACGTCTTCCCGGTGGCCGCTCACAGCGAGTCGCGCACAGAGACGGGCCGGGGCAGCGCACCTCCCTCGTCCCAGGCCTCCACGGCCATGGCCAGGTTCCGGGCCTGGATCTCGCCCTTGTGCACGGGGAGGGTGGGGTTCTGGCCCACGAAGCAGGAGATGATGTCGGTGCCGCCTGTGACGATGGCAGGAGGAGACGCAGAGCTCAGAACGCGAGGCAGACCGCTCCTGTTTTATGAGTGAGCGAGGGGGAGAAAGGCCCCACAGGACAGGCAGCCACTGAACTTTCAGGGAAACCCAGCGGATTCCAGGAGGAAGGGGGGGCACGGCTTAGACGCGGGCGCGAGCCCCGCCTCCCACGTCCCAGTGACGTTTTCTGCCCGAGGCCCCTGCTGGAGGGGAAACTAAAGCAACGGGCTCCGGCGGCCACACTGTTGGTCAAGACTCAGGTTCCCGGAAATGGACGCTTCGCCCACTTGCCCCACGCACGGGCACTGCGGGGTCAGAGCGTGCGCACGTGCGTGGGGCAGCCCGGTTGCGTCCCCACCTCCGCGGAGCCCGCAGGACGCTGGCCGGCGCCCGCACGCGCTGGCCGTACCTGAGATGGAGCCCAGGAGGACGCTGCTCTTGACACACCGGTACACGTAGTCGTAGCTCTGGGTCTTCAGTGGGGAGCCGGTGGACAGCAGTGTGTGCAGCGTCTGCAGGCTGTGGGTTTCCCCTGCGGCCAAGGATCAGAAGGGTTAAACCCCGCCTGGCGCCTTCGGGAGGCTGCGGGCAGGGCAGGTGGCCTGGGACCAGGCACTGGGGCGCTGTGGCGGGCGCACTCACTGGGCCTCATGTTCCTCTCCTCGATCACAGACAGCCACTTGGCACTCGTGCCGAACACGGTGATGCTGGGGGCACAGCAGGGAGAGAAGTCACTGGAAACTCTTCAAGGCTCTTTCCGGAGTGAGTGGCTCACTCCTGATACACGTGCCCCCCTTTTCTGGGCCGAGACAATGCTTCACGTTCGGTTGATGGGGAGCCCCGCCCCTGAGCCCACGGGCACCCAGCACGCCGAGCACGGGCTCCTTGCACAGCGGGCTCGGTTTCACGCGGCCGTTTCCACGTGGGCCTGCCAGCTCCCCCGCCGCAGGCTGCTCCCTCTTGTGAGACCAAGGAGGCCGAGATGTCGAGAGCCCTTGGCTCCGGACCCCGTGCACTCCTCTTCCGGTGAAGCGGGTGGCGGAGGGCCTTGGGGAAGACAGGTGCCGTCCTTGGGAAGCGTGGCCGGCCCGGTTTCTCAAACGTGCTCGCGTTCCCACAACACGCAATGCTCGAGCACTCGGCATGACAGCCCCCGCCCCAGGCGGCCCTCAGAGAGCGGTGGGCGCAGCGAGCGTGACTCCCTGTGTTCTCTAGGGGAGAGCGCTGCTTAGGGGTCTGTCTGCCTCCTCGAGGCAGCCTCACCGGGGACACCGCCTTCCGAAGGCAGGCGAGAAGGGTCTCTACTGAGGGCCCGTGGAGGCTGGAGAGCCCCGCCCCGCCCCGCCCCTCGGCGCAGAGATATGTGTAACCCTAACCCCGGCCCGTTGGCCGCAGAGTCCACGCAAGGCGGGGGCCCCCAAGGCGGCTGCTGCCTTAACCTCTTTGCTTCACAGGGACCACCTGCCTCCAGAGCCACCAATCAAGCCTCAGGCACCCCTGGGCGCCGGGCCCTCCAGACGGCTGCCCCAGGAGAGGGGGCGTGGGGAGCAGCAGCAGACATGCTCCTGCAGCGCCCCCCCACGTTGGTTTCGTAAACTCAAGACAGCCTGCACTAGTCCAAGGTCACCTCCGGAGTCTCAGGCGTCACCCCGTAGGAGTGTTCCCATTTTCCCAGGAGACCAGGGCCGAGAGCAGTGCCCCCACAGCCACGGCCACGGAGGCCTCTGGGCACCAGCCACGGCACACGGCGCTCAGACTCCGCGCTCTCGTCCCCGGAAGCGGGCGCTCCGTGAGCCTGCCGCGCGCCCAGCCACAGGAGCGCCCCACGAGCCGTGGCCTCGGCCCTACAGGGGCCTCTGCAGCTGGGGCCGGCGGGGCTGTCTCACCCCCACGCGGCCCGCGAGCGCGGGGGCAGCTCGGGCTGCCTGACTTGAGCGGGCGCCACTGGGAATCGCCCCACGGGGCACGAGGCCGCTTCTCAGCTGAGGAAGCATCGGGGCTCCGCGCCGCCCGCCAGAGCCCGCGGTGGGCAGCGTGCAGACGGCCCCGGCCACGGACAGCTCCTCCGAGGCCGCCCTCCAGCGGCCGGCGCCCTCCCCCGCACCCTGCCTCAGGGGAGCGAAGCCGAGCTTAAAACCATGAAGCAGACCCTGCCGCTCCCAACACATGTTCCAGGGCTGCCTGGCTTTTCGCAGAAAAGAAACGCACCTCCGGCCCAACCTGAAATCCCACGGGTCTGCCTGCTGCCCCGGCCCCAAGTCGCCTCTTCCGAGTCGGGCCACCAGGGCCCCTCCCAGCTTCCCCAGCACAGCCACCCTGGTCCCCCCGGGCCTTGGCACGAGCCCATCCCCCAGGCCTCACCGCTCAGGCCCCAGCCCCAGCGCCGTTGCCCCGCAGGGGCCTCCCTGACCCCAGGTCTGCGATGGCACCGCTTACCCCCCGCCACCTGCGTGCCAGCCCCACGAGGACAGAGGCCCGCTCGTCACGGCCAGGCGCAGAGCGGACCCCCAGGCATCTGCGGGGTGCGGCCGTGACACCGGCAAGGGCAGCCCGGCGAGCTCACTGCGGAGGCCGGGCCGGCTCGCCCGTCGCGAAGCCCCACCCGGACCGCCCCCGACAGCGCGCGCCTGCACGGCGGCCGCGGCTCGGGCCGACACGGTGCCTGCCATGGCCGCTACTGGCAGAGCCTGGGCAAGGTGTCCCAGGGACCTGACCCCCACCCGGAGCTCAAGTCTCCCTGGCCACACGCTCCCTCGCACCCCACACACGCGCACGCACACTGCCACATGCACAGGCGTGTATGCTCTTAGTCGCTTGCACACACGTGCACGTGCACACACAAAGCCGGGGGTCCCTGGGGCCCCTCGTCCTCCCAGGTCCCCAGCACCACGCCCCAGGGACAGGCTGTCCTCCCCGCCGTCTCCCTGACACACTCGCTCTCACCAGAAGTGCCAGCTGGCTTGCGGGCGTCAGGGGACAGACCTCAGAGCCCCCCCGCGTTCCCAGGGGTCCGACTGCCCTTTTGCTGGAAACGACCTCGTTAGCAAAGGCCCCCCCCCCCCGGCCGATACCAGGAGCCGGATGTCAGGCTTTACCTGTTTTCCAGGCTGGGCAAAGTTGTATTTAAATTATTAATGGCCAAGGGTTGAAAAAGGTTGGAGGCCCCACCATGTGCCCACCATGCATGGACTCAAACGTCATGTAATGAGAACGTCGCGGAGCGCGACTGACGTCCAGGTCCTCCTTCCCCAAAACGCGACCTTTAGGTCAGCGGCAACCAGAACCGTTCGCTGGGATGACTAATTCCTCAGCAAAGGAATCCCTGAGTCTGACGGTTTCCGGCGATGACGAGGATGAGGCTGGGGGGCGGGGGGTGCGCCTCCCCCTCCCCCTTCCACAGGTTCCAGCAGGGCCAGCGGCACCCCTTGCAGCCGGCCCCTGCCTCCTCAGCGCCCCCACGAGCCGCCCGGTCCAGGCCAGCCAGGCGGCGGGGGCGCAAGGGCAGGATGCCCGCCCCGGGGCCGTTGGGAGGGTCCCAGGGCGCCGTGGAGACCGCCAGCCGGCAGGAGGGGCCGCTAGCGACAGGCCGGGCTCTCCTGCGGGCCCCCAGCGCAGAGGGGAAGCGGGCAGGGAGCCCCGACGCAGGCACCTACCCGATCCTGTCGACCAGGTCCCAGAGCACGCTGGGCGTGGGCCCCAGGGCGCAGCCGTCGTACAGGACCACAGCCGCGCCCGTGGCCAGCACAGACACCATCCAGTTCCACATCATCCAGCCGACCTGGAGCAGACAGAGGGGCGAGCAGGGCGTCACCGAGCGCTGGGCCACTCCCCGCAGGTCACGCAGCACCCACGCCCCACAGAACCACCCACCCCTGAGCCAGCGATGCGCCAGAGCCTGCTTCCCGCGCACGCGCTCCGCCCCGCAGCTCCGTGCCGGGAACTGACCGTCAGCAGTGAGCGCCGGCCGGCGGGGGACCCGGACTGGGCTGGGACGCCCCCAGCCTGCTGCTCAAAAAGCAAACTGCAGGTCTGGGCCCTTCCACTGAGCAGGGGCCTGAGTGAAACCCTGCACAGAAGCCCCTTGACGTGCCACCGGACACACAGAGACGGCGCCCCCTGCCCTCCGCGCACGGCCCGGCCCTCCAGACTCCCCTGCGTCCCCCGGGGCCCCTCAGGTTAGGGCCTGGCCCAGAGCTCTGGCTCTTTTTACACACCCAGCGCAGAGGCACCAGCCAGGCCCCGGAGCTAGCCTTCGGGGTCCCCGGGTGCCCGCAGTCTCGGAAGAGGCACGTCTGGGTCTTCCTCCCCGGGAATAGACACTGCCTCCTCCAGCTTGTCTGGTCCTCAGCTTCCATGACTCAGCCTTCGGCAAGGTCAGGGAGGCCTCCCAGGCCCCCACCTCCGCCTCAGCCTGACCCGGCACAGCCCACACCGAAGTGCGTGAACAGGCCCCAGGCAGGGCCCCGCGCACCGTCCGGTTTCCCGCCACGCGGGTGCAGCAGGGAAGGGACTCCGCGGATGTCAGCTTCCGCTTGCTCTGTCTGCTTTCCGCTGGCCACCCGACCCCTTCACAGGCGGGGGGACACTGCGGCCAGGGCAGACGAGACACCTCGGCGAGCAGCGCCAAGCTCAGACGGCAACCGGCCTGGCTTCCCAGGCAGCAGAGAGGGGCCCGGGTTCAGCCAGGACGCAGGCTTGACGTGGCGGCACCGTGAGGCACACCCCGCACTCCCGGGACAAGGACCGGGGGCCTGGGCGCTCCGGCCCCCCAAGGCCGCAGCACGCACCCCTCGGCTTGCGGTCCCTCACCGCGCCGGCCCCTGCCGCCGCCGTCGCCCGTCCTGCTCTGACCCGACCCCCCGAGAACGACCCTGTGACCACCTGTGCTGCCCGAACAGCCCAGGAGACTCTCCCCACCACTGGGTCCCTCACGTGATCCCATCTGCAAAGTCCCCTTGGCCGCGCGTGGCCACGTGGCCGCAGGCTCTTGGGATCAGGATGTGGACGTTTTGGGGGTCACTGTTGTCCCTCCTGCCCCACCCAACTGTCCTCCAGTGAATTCCCAGTGTCCCTGTCTCTGGCACGACATTGGCAGCAGGCCCCTGCCCCCGGCTGACTGCAGGCTGTCACGTGGCTCTCACCCCTCCCGCCTAGGGACTGACTGGTAGTTGGTGTCCCCGGTTTCTCTAGAATCCCCAGTGCCCTGGGTCCTCGAGAGGTGGCGGGGCCAGCCTGGGAAGACAGGCAAAGTGGAGCGACGAGGTGCGGAGCCTCGAGCGGAGCGGCGGCCGGGGTGGGGTAGGCAGAGCCGCAGGGACTGGGGAGCAGGGCCGGCGGCCGAAGCTGCTCCGAGCGCAGCCGGGGGTCGCAGGTGCTGCTTGCTGTTAACACGTGTTACCGGGAGAGGCCGAGAGACAAGGAAAGACCAACACAGAGCCCGGCTGCCCGGAAGGAGCAAAGCCACCTGCGGGGGGCGCAGAGGCAGGCGCGCCCCTCCCAGGACAGCCCCCACCCGGCGCCCACTCACTGTGGTGTAATAGAAGAAGGTGTCGCTGCTGGTGATGTTGCTGTGCAGAATGTGCTCCTTCAGGTGCTGGAGGAGAGTGCCCTGGGGAGGAGAGGCCTGTGAGCGGCACCCCTGGCCAGGTGCCTGTGGCCCCCGCGGGGACGGGGCAGGGCGGGGGGCAGGCCCCAGTCCCACAGGAGGCCAGCCTCGGCGCCCTCTGGAACGGGAGCTGGGAGCCTCGTCCCCCCACGGAGGACTGGGGGGGCGGGAGGCAGAGTGAGACGGCCACCTGGACACGCGGTGGCGGCTGCGTCTGCAGCCCTCTGTGGCCCCGGGACCGGGCTCGGGGGCGCCCCGCTGGGGGCAGCCTGAGTCCTGCGTTCAGCTCCAACCAACGCCCGGGCGAACCCCCTTCCCACCCCCGTGCACGGCCTGTTACTGTTTGCCTTACTGGTTAGCGAGCAGCCCATTCGCAGGGTCCAAGCCTCTGCGGCGCGGCTGTGAGGAGCCCCCATGCGCGGCCCCAGGCACGGAGGCAGCCACTGTGCCCGTCTCAGGTCTCCTCCGGGGGCGCCTGTCAGCGCGGCCGCCCCGTGCTGACCCTCGGCCTGGACGCATCGTCCCGCCCCTCGCTCCTGCCACGTGACGGGGCCCGGAGGGCTCTGCCGGTCCACAGGGCGCCCTCTAGCTTTTTAACAGCTGCGTAGTATTCCACTGCCCAGACCATCCTCGCTCCAAACACCTCTGTGCCTGTCTGTGGCTGTCGGGGGGCCAGAGGTGGCTGTCGCCACGCACCATCCAGACGGCAGAGCACAGGGCCCTGCCCCCGCTGCTGACCCCCCTCGGCCTTGGCTTTCCCGCCTTTGCAGTGGGTCTCGTACACAGACCTGGGGCCGGACCGGGACACCCTGACTGCGACCCTTCGGTTGTATCCACAGGTGACAGCACCTGGCTGCTGGCCCCGGATCCCCAGGGGGTCTAGGAACTTCCAGGGTGGAAGCCAGGACCCAGGGTTAAAACCAGCCTTCACGACCCTTGTCGGACCCAAGAGAAAGGAAAAAGCAAGCCCACAGCAGGGGACGGTCCGTCTAAAAGTTCAGCAGAAACAATCCTGCCCCGTGAAGCCTCTCCTTCGAGGGCCAGCACTCCCACCGCAGAGCCTGCTGCACACGGCCACCCGCGCGGCAGGCCACGGGGCCCTGTGGAGGGCAGGGGGACGGCCGCTGGGAGGGACAGGTCCCTTCCGCACGTGCCAATGCCACCGCCGTCCCCGGGAGCCTCCGACAGGTTTGTAGGGAGTGCAGTCGGCCGGGCCAGGCCGGCTCCCCCGGGGCGGGCACAGGCTCCCGTGCAAAGTTCCCCACGCCCTATCCTCACAGGAGTGGGGGCTCCCTGGGGGGCCGCAAAGGTTTCAGGAACTTTCGATCAGCGATAACTGTTCACACAAGGAGCCTGCTGCAGAGACCGGGGCTCCCCGACCACACAATCCTGCCCCGCCTCCCTCTTCCTTGCTCATGTTCCCTTAAAACGGGCGTTTGATTTACGTCTGTACCCCCAGCCCATGACCCGCTTCAGTGTGGCCTTTTACGCCACACTGGCTGGCTGTTCCTCGTCCCCTCCAGGGGCACAAAGATGCCGCGCAGTGGCTCTCTCAGAAGCTTTCCGTGTGGACCGTGCGTCATGGGAGCCGTTCTCCCTGGAATTTGTAAACAGTCCCGCCGGGTCTGAGTGAGGAAAACGCGCAGCGTGGTTTCGTGGGTCTCAAGCAGCAGGAATCGTTCAAAAGAAGGAAGAGGGGAGCTGCTCTCTGAGACCGTTTGTGCACTTAGAAAACGAACTGGCAAACCGGGCACAACGCTCCCCCCCAGGACACCAGGGACCGGAAGGTGTCCCTGCTGGCCACCACCCTTCACCCTGCTGGTTTCAAGCTTCCAGCCAAGATAACAAGAAAGCGGGCAAGTTGCTTAGTCACGTCACTGGATGTATAAGAGCCCAGTGAAGACAGAGTAAGTAGAATTTTTTTTTTGATCTTCCCATACTCGAAGTATGCCAGGCACGATGATTTTATGAGCAAACTCTATTATAGCTAATGCATTTTTATGTCCCTCTCCTAAAAAGTGACATTTACTATGCAAAAAGCACTAAAAATAGAAGTATAGTTAGATGATTCAGTTTCTCCTAAAATGTCTGGTTTTGCCGCACACGCCCGCCCCCCCACCCCATCTGCTGGCTTCCAAAATGTCACCTCCACGGCCGGTCCCCGGGGCCGCTGCGCGGGTGGCCCGGACGCCCCCTACAGGGCACACGGGGCTCCGGCAACCACGCTGCATGGCGCCCCACGGCCAGAGGCACACGCGGGCTTGGCTGAGTAACACGGGACGGGCCCGGCAACGAGGTCAGCTCGCTCCCACAGAAAGCAACCCCCAAGACAAAGCCCTTGGCCCTGACGGCTCCCCTCCCCCTGAGCCGGGGTGTCTGCAGGAGCCACCGCCGTGAGCAAACGGGCCCCGCATCTGCCAGTGTTGCTTCGCAGCCTGCAATCAGGCCTCATGAGTCTGAACCAGGTTTTAACAGCGCGTGGCCGGCTCTGCCTGGCTCTGAATGTGACTTAAGTGGAAACATTCCCTCTCCTGGAAGGGATTCAAAGCGCTTCTCGGGTCGAGGGCCTGCAAAGCTAAATGAGCTAAAATAAGAGAAATTCTACATTTCGTTTTCAAATACCGCAGCTTAGCAAGTGAGGGATGGAAAGCTGTTGGAACAGGAGGCCCCTCCACTTGGATGACATCTCCTTCTGGGGGGGGAGGGGCGTGAAAGAGAAAAGGCTACGACAAGGCGCGCCTGAGATGGGGCGGGCTCTTCCCCTCCTGCCCACTGAGCCAGCTGGGGAAGACACTGCGGGGCTGGGTGCAGAGGGCACCGCCCAGCTGGCCTGCGAGGAGGCCCGGGCCCTCGGAGAAGCGGCGCCGCAGGCCGGGAGCACGTCCCCTCCCGGTGGTGACAGCTCCGCGGCAGCACTGGCACCCCGGCGCCGGCTCAATTCCAGATCTGCGGGCGGCGCGCCCCCTGCGAGAGGGTCTGCGCACAGGCACCCCCGGCGCCCCGTGGACAGAGACCTACCCCGGCGGAGTGCACTATGCACTTGGGCGCTCCGGTCGTGCCCGACGAGAAGAGGATGAAGAGGGGGTGGTTGAAGGGCAGCTGCTCGAACTCCAGCTGGGGCGCTTGGTCTCCTTTCCCGGTGGCGAGAAAGTCATCCAGAAACATGCTGTGGGCAGAACGCCTGGGGTCAGGCAAGGGGTTCAGCCCTTGCTACCTCCGTCTGGACGGAGCCGGGGCTCCGGAAGCTGGCCAGGGTGGAAGCCGGATGCGGGGGGAGGTCTCCCCTCCCAAACTCAGGCAGAGCGAGGGGAAACCGAGGGAACGAGCGAAAATTTCAAGCTGCTTCAACTGCGCACGCGGCCAGCGTGGGCCATCCCTTCTGAAAGCGCCGCAGTGAGTAAACACTGTGGAGGAGGCTCTGGGAGCCCCGACGTGGCCGCTGGGGCCCCCTCCCTGCCATCTGCCACATGCAGCTCATTAGCAGACGCTTGTTTCCAGTCGCCCAAAGCGAAGCCGAAGCCATGGCCAAGGAGGTCTCAGTAACTGTGCTTTCCCCCGGAGGAGAAGGGCGGGGAGGAGGGGGAGATCCGTGCGCTTTTCCTGCGCGCAAAGGGGCCAGTTCCTGCAATGAGAAGCTGCCAGCGAGCGCTCCGCGGGCCCTGCCCCGCAGGCTCGACAGCACGACGCAAACGTCTGCCAGGAACAAGTGCCATTGAGCCCACTCGTATCACCTAAGAAACCTTCCTGCTCGTCTCCAGAGCTGCCACGAAGCAATGGCACGTGTGGCCCAGAACCACCAGGGGCCACAGAGCTGTTTTCTGAGCAGAAAGAGGGCAGCGGAAGCCACAAGGCCATCTTTTCCAAAAAGGAAAAGCCCCCAGGGCCCCCCCTCCCCCGGTCTCTACACACGGCACACGCCGGCCGCCAGCCTGCCTCCGGCCACCAGCCATCCCAAGGGGAACGGCAAGGGGTCTAGCGCCCGGGTATCGCCCGTATGAAACCACATAAAGCAGCTGATGCCACTGTGCTGGACGCTCTCATTTTGTATCGGTTGCTGGGAAACACATCCAGGGGAACCAGAGCCGGGCGCCAAGGGGCGGCCAGCCCGCCGGTTCCCCCCTCCCCTGCCTCAGCCCATGAGAGCAGGGCGCTGTTCGCGGCTGCAGGAACTGAGTCCAGCCTCTGCCCTCTGGCTGGGATGTGGCCAGGGCTCCCACAATCCAAGGAACAAGTCCCAGCCCCAGGCCTGGATGAGGGCCCGTACACCCTGCTCCAGGTGCTCCCAGGGACACAGCCCACCCTGCCTGCACCGTCACCTTCTGTCACGATCGCTGAGAGCTGACGAGAGGACTCTGCTCACAGCCAGACGGCGAGGAAAGTACGGTCATCGCCCCATCGCACAGATGGGGAGACTGAGGCACGGAGGCCACACCCCACGAGGGCCTGCGGCGGCCCCCCCGCCACCGCCCCGCGCAGCCGGCTCACCTGTCTGGGATCTCTGAGATGTCTATCTGCTCTTTGGGGGTGATGTAGGGGATCACCACCACTTTTTCCAAGTCTGGGAGTCCTGAGGGGAGAGGAGGAGAAAACAAAGTCACGGTGCCGCATGGGTCTGCCTGTCCTGCTTGTTTCTGCAGCCCGCACGGGCCTTGCTGAGCCCCGCGGCCTCGTCCCCGCACCCCCCCACCGCCCCACCGCCCCCGTCAGGCAGGCTGTGCCGGCCGCCACGCACCACGCACGACCTGACGCAGCTTGTCCAGGTGAGCGTGCTCTTTGCCGTTGTACACCACCGCCTCCACGGAGAAGAGGAGCTTCGGCTGGATCTGCGAGAACCGGTCCATAACAGCCTGGGATCAGAGGGAGACTGGTCATGGGTCGCCCCAGAGGCGCGCCCTCCGCAGCCGCCGGGCCCACCGCCTGTTCCTGGGTGCCCATCACCGGAGGCTCGTAAACACAGTCACGCCAAGCACAACATGTGCCTGAGGTGATCGATCGCCGCGTCAAGGAAGGAGTCGACATGAAGGAAGAGCAAAGGCCTTACGGACGCCGAAAGAGCAAGTCCAAGTCGACCGCAGGGGGAAGCCAGGGGCGGCCACACCACGGGGCGGGCCCCGCGCCCCACAGGCACAGCGGGGGGCCCGCCTTCCGGGGCCGCTCCAGCGCCACAGCGCCCCCGCGCCTCGGCTCTGCGCCCCTCCGATGGGTCGGGACCCGGGTCCCCCCGCCACGGCGCGCAGGACGGTGACGGCCCACACCGGGGTCAGGCCCCACCATGAAAGCGGGCCGACCACACCCCGGCCTCCCGTGGCCGCGGGGCCCACCGTCGCCCGGCACCCGTCTCCCCCTGAACGACGCGCCCTCCCGCGCAGGGGCCCGACCCGTGCCTGCCGCCGGCGCGAGCCGACAGGGCGGCCTCAGACACGCACGCTGCCGCCGGAGAGACGTCCCAACGGTGGCAGGTGGCACCCTTCCCTCCTTCCCCCCAGCCGACCCCAAGTTCAGACCCCACAAGGGGCGCTGAGGAGACAGCCCTCCGGGCAGCGCCCCGGCCCGTGCCGCTGGCGCACGGTCAGCTGGTGCCAGGTCAGCACTGGGCTGCCCCGGGCACAGGCAGGGGGCCAGGCTCCGAGGGAGGCCTGCACCCCGCGCCCCCGCAAGTCACAGCCGCCCGCGGCAGACCCAGTCATTAAGCTCAGCGGTGACTAACCAACTGCTTGGGAGGAGCCCGGTGTTAGTGCGAAGAGCGGAGCTCACATCTAAGGCAACATCCCCCTCAGGGGAGGCCAGGGACCCTCACCGGGGGACCCGGCAGAGACAGCATCGCCTGGGGCCCAGGCCCGCTGACTCGGGAACTTGGGGGCGCCCGGCAAGCCAGGTGATCCTGAGCCACGACTGAATCAGAGGTGCTCTGCGCTGAAGCTCCGGGGCTGCTCTCGGTGCTGGCCGTCCGGTTTTTGAGACCGGAAGCTTAATCAACATCGAAGAGTTTGAGGCCAAGAAAGCGCTTGTTTGTTCCGTCTGCGGGGCCAGGCGCAGACACAGGGAGCCGCCCGAGCAGGCCTGCCCTCCTCCTCCCTGGGACACACGCTGTATCGGGGGAAACTAGGAAAACAACCACGAAGGTTATTGCTTTCAATTCCCAGTTATTTTCAGTGAACGACACTCATGATCTAGGAAAAGGAAGAAGGAACAAAGTAAAGCTGTAAGGAAAAATTAATGATGTAATCAATCAATAAATGTAAAATCTTTTTCCAAAAAGACCAGTAAGATAAACTTCCCGACAAATCTGATCAAGAGAAAAGATAATATTTCTGGCTAACACTTAAGTAGCCCTTAAGGATTGTGCGTCAGGCCTGGTCCTAAGCACCTTACTCATGCTCGCTCTTCCACACTCGGACAACCGAGGCCCCAGGGAAGCCCAGGATATGGTTACGAAGGACAAGGCCGTTGTCATCCCCACGTTACGGATAAACGGAGACACGCAATCGCAAGAACTATAGAAACCACACTTTACTACAGAAATAATGACTAAGGAGTGAGAAAACGCTGTTTACTTTTGTTAAGTTTTAAAATCCAGATGCAATGGATAATTTCCCAAGAAAATATCAATGATCCAAACTGACTCAGAAAGCAATGCAACAGCCACAGAGACGGCACCTCAGTGGAGGGCGGCCAGAGGGCCACCTCCTCACACAGACACGGCGCCCAGGGCGGGTGGGGAGCCCCGGTAAGAGCACACCATCCTGACGTGGGGGAGCGGGGGCACGGGGCGAAGCCTGACCAGGAGCCCTGGATGGTGGCAGAGATGCCTCCGTGAAACCCAGCATCTCTCCCAGCCGACTGTCGGGGGAAGGGACCTAGCCTGCCGGTGCCTGGGACTCGGGTGTCCTGGGGGCGACAGCAAACAGAGAGCAGAGACGACCAGTGTCCAGAATCAGGGGTCTGGGCGCTGGCACCGTGGAAAGCCTCGGAAGCCCCCAGTGCACAGGGGGAGGGTCTCTGAGACGAGCTGGCAGCCTGTTCTGGGCCAGGGCAGGGGACCCAGGGGAGCTGCTCCCACGTGGCAACGAAATAGACACACCCATGGTCACATGTCTGACCCGGACACGGTGCCCAGCAACCCGGCGAGCACGGAAACCCACAGCCAGCGCTGAGTCACGTGGACGTGCACCCAGAGCGTGTGCCCCAGGGTCTGAATCACGTTGCAGGGTGAGGGCTGCGGGCCTCTTTCTTGTGTGTGCAGACGTCAGAGGCTGGACTCCCCCAGCATCTTTGAGGAAGCCACCAACCCGAAGGGCAGCGGTGGAACAAAGGAAGGAGCAGAGAGGCTGACAAACGTGGGACCTGCTGGTCTTCGTGAGGCAGGAAGGTTGGGAACCCAAAGGGCGGGTGTCCCCTCTTGCTTGGCGATATGCCCCTCCCCAGCCCGAGTGCGCTGGGGCCCGAGCCACAGGGGGACCGGTGGCCAGCGGGGCAGGGGCGGGGCAGACGCAGAGCAGGGGGCGGTGATGGGTGAGCAATCCGCACCCCGGCAGCACCGGGCAGAGACAGGCGTCTTCCCCCAGGACATCCCGCCGCAGAGTGGCACGCGCATGACAACAAGGCAGGCCCCTTCCCGAAAAGGGGGACCCGCCGAAGTTTGAAATGGTGGTGCCCAAAATTAAGGACAGGAGACTCTTTTTGAAAAGAGCTTTGTGAACCACTGAAGAGACACCCCTGAGCCCCCGGCCCGGCCTCCTCGTCAGTGCCAGGGCCGGGAGCTCCGCCTGCGGGGACACCATGTGGAGGAGAACCGGAGGCTCTGGCGCCATCGGTTCGTCCCAGGCGCCCACTCAGCACCGGGTGCTGGGGCCCAAGCAAGTGAGCGCCGCAGCTCCCCAGGGCCACAAAGGCTCGCCCTCGGTGCAGGAAGGCGGGTGCCGGCAGCCGGGAGGGCTGGCAGGTCACCAGGGGCCGGCCTGTTAACTGCCCGTCGCTGGACGCTCGCCCCGCAGGTGCGGGCAGCGTCGCCCACACGGGCGCCCGCTGCCTCCACAGCACCGCCGTCCCGGGGAATGGGCGCCATTCCCCAGAGCCCAGGGCAGAGCAACAGCCTCGGCGGGGGCGGGGGGGCATCGGGCCTCATCGTGTTCTGACTGAGGGCAGCCCCAGGGCCTGGGCCGCCCCGTCCGCACATGCGCCGGGACGGGAGAGCCGAGCTCTGCCGGCCCCCGGGGCCTGCTGCCTCCTGCTGCCTCCCGCGCCTGGGGCAGCTCCGGCAACAGCAAGGGTCTGGAGGGCCCTGAGCCAGGAAGGACCAGCCGGTGCTGCCCCTGGCTGTGTCCTCCCACGTGGCAGAGGCGCCTGGAGCAGCATCGGGTGGTGACACTTGGCACAGGACAACAGCCAGCAAGTTCCTCTGGCCTCCCCCGCCCTGCAGCGGGGGCGCAGACGGTTAGTCCTTGGTCCTCACGGGCGAGGGGATAAGAAGGCCCCCGGCCTCACACAGAACGCAGAGCCCAGACCACAAGCTTAGACCAGAGATGGGAGCGAAGGACACGGGTCTGAGGGCGGCTGCGAGCGCATCGGGGACACTGTCTGCGCAGGGTGAACACTCAGAACCTCTTGCGCGGCCACAAAGTCACAGGAGAAGTGACTGGGCAACTCCCGCTACCTCTCCCCACCACGCCTGTCACACGGAGCACACGCTAAGGTGGCCACACACACAATGGGAGAGCATTCGATCTAAAACTGTGCTTTCAGATTCCAACACAAGGCTCCATTCCCTCGGGCGCCTTGTGTCCTGTTGCCCTCACGTCCCTGGCCGGGGAGCAGGAGGCCATCAAGACGGCACTTCCTCCCAGCCCTGCCAGGCCCGCGGCTCCCCCGGGAGTCCGCCCCCCGCCCCCCTACCCTGATGCCAGGTGGGCTGCACCCCAGGGCCACCCAGCCCCGGTCACCCCCCAGGGGCCCCGACTCACGTTCATGCCGAAGTCGGGCGACGTGCTGCTCCAGATGGCGCCGATGCTCGCCGCGGCCAGCATGGCCTCCAGGGCATGCTCGCCGTTGGGCAGGTACCCTGCGGGGGGCACAGGGAGGGGCCTCGGGTTCAGGATGCGTCAGGTGCTGCGGGCTCCCGAAGGGCATCCCCCCCAAGCCAGGCAGGACTGGGGGCCTGGGGACAGGGGCCAGCCCCACCCCTCCGCGCCCCTCCCAGGGGCCATGACATCTCATTTGGGTGACCAACCAATGTTCCCCCCCAGCCCACTCTCCATGGTCTAACCAGAGGGACCCCCGCAGCCCTACAGGACGATGCCCCCCCTTCCGCGGCTGCTCCCAGCTCCTCCTGTCTCGTCTGTCCACGCCGCCTCAACACTCCCATGCACACCGGCCGGCCCTGCTCAGGGCGTGCTCACCCCTCAGCTCCTAGCTCCAAGGGAACTTCCTCGAGGGAGCCTTCTCTGCGGCCACCCCCAAACTTAGGTTCCCCCGACGGTCACCCACAGAGCACACTGTGTTTCTCCTTTACCAAGATTAGCACAATAATTCCCCATGTATGCTAATCATGACGGGCTGGTTAATACCCGGTTCTCAGGTGAGGACGGAGACCTCGTCTGTCTTACTCTTTCTCTACCATGTCCTGCCTATCAAGGCCCTCGTGTTTGGCCTACTGGCTGGCTGGCAGGTGGATGAATGGATGGATAGTTGAATGGTCAGATGGACAGGTGGACAAACTGGGTAGATGGTTGAATAGATGAACAGACAGAGATGGATGAATGGGTAGATGGCTGAATAAAGAGATAGATGGTAGATGATGGATGGATGGATGATGGGTGGATCGATGATGGATGATGGATGGATGGATGGATGATGGATGGATGGATGGATGGATGATGGATGATGGGTGGATTGATGGATGAAGAGATGGACGGATGATGGACGGATGATGGACATTGGACGGCTGGGCAGATACAGAGGAAGGAGAGGGAAACGAAGAATGTGAGCAGGAGAGCAATGACACGCAGAAGCCTACAAGGCGCAGAGGAGGGCTCAGGCCTTCCGGCAAGTCAGAGGCTGGGCTTTTGACAACAGAGGCAGAGAATCTTTATGGCCAGAGAGGCTATCACCGATAACAGGGACCTTCCTAAACGCCCAGAGGGAAGGATTTGTGCACAAGGCATCAGGGAGCAGGAGGGCCAGGCTGAACACCCGCCCCAGCAGGGCTCTGTAGCCGGCCACCGCGCCCAGACACTCTCCCTTGCCACTCTGAACCCCGCCCGAACACATGGCACTGCCACGCCTTTGGGTCTGTGTGGTGTCTGCCCCGCCCCACCCCAGTGTCCGAGGGCCACGGCTCCGCCTGGCGTCTGGCACGCAGCAGATACTGGGTGTTTGCTTTGGAGGTGGGAGCAAACCGACGCTCCTTGGTGGCGCACTGCCCCAGCTGGCTGGGTGGGGACGGACCAACAGCCAGGAGGTGACACAACAAACTGCACCAGGAACAGCTCTGCTCCGTCTGTGACGCCCGCCAAGGATCTCCCCACTTGCTCCTCGTCCGGAATCACTCCCAAGTGCCCTCTCCTGAGGGACACCCGGGCCGGTCCCGCAACCAGGGTCAGGACAAGCTGGTGTCCGAGCCGAGACGACCAGAAAGAGCAGCTCACCAGGCACCAGCCCGGCTTTGGAGAATCGGGGGCGCCGAAGCCAGGCGTCCCCCAGAGCCAGCGCGGCCCCGGGGCTGGACAGCCCCCCCTCCCCCGGCACGGCCGCCCCGGGCTCCTTCTCTCAGGACGCGGGCTTCAGAGCAGGCGTTTGCAAAGAGAAAAGGTAGGGAAGAACCCTTTACATTTCCTTTCGAGACCTCACCAGGCTGCAGGTTACGTTTGACCCCAGATACTGAGGCCTGAACAGCCCCCGCCCCTGCTCGGATCCCACCGACATTCGGTGCGCGCCTGCCGTGTGCCAGGCGCTTGGTGCGGGCTGGGGCACGGCAGTGAAAGGGGACCAGCCCCTGGCCCTGGTGTGTGCGCGTGCGTGGGCACACGTGTGCACGCGCACCCCCCCCACGCGCGCGCGCACACACGCCTGTGGGCCAGGGGGCGGCACGCAGGCCAGGGAGACCCGCGGCGAGGGGACGGAGAGAGCAGCGCCCGGCCTCTGCAGGCGTCCCTGCGGGGTGGCCTCTGCGCAGGAGCCGTCCCAGCAGGGACCTGGCGGCCCAGGGTGGGGCCGGGGGACCGCACAGCGCCCCACCCAGCGCCGGGGCAGGGCCGCTTGGTGTGTCCCTCGTTCCCTCTCCGATTCCTTTCTAATCAACTGACTTCGGAGGAGCCCCATCTGTCCCTGGGAAGGGCTCGCCCGGGGCCCACCCACCCACCCAGCTACACAGCACAGGCCGGCTGGCCCTCCTGCCCCCTGGCAAACACACCCGGGAGAGGCACGTCCGCCCCAGCCCCTGCCCGGCCACGTCTCCTGGTAGCCCCTCTCTGGGCTCAGCCACGGGGGGACCTTTCCGCAGTGTTGGAGGGGCTGCGGAGCCCTCGGGGCTCCCCGGGCCCTCTCCGCACCGAGCCTCCGCATCCGCGTGTCCAAAGCCCCCTCGGCCTGCGTCCACCAGCAGATGACAGACAAGCGCGACGCGGGCTGGCCGTGCCGTGGGGGCCGGCTGGACCGGAAAAGGAGGGGCCTGCTGACACACGGCAACAGGACGGACGCCGGCCACATGTGGAGGCGGCCGGGCCCAGGGCCACGCCGTGTGTGACTCCGCTCACAGGAAGTGTCCGGGACAGACACGGCCGCGGCAGAGACCACGGGCTGGGGGCGTGGGATTTCGTTCTGGGGTGAGGAGAATGTCCTAGAATGGATTGTGGTGAGGTTGGCACAACTCCGAATATTCTGAAAGCCACGGACCTGTGCGCTCTCGATGGCTGAACAGCAAGGCACGTGAATTAGAGTTCGGTGAAGCTGTAACTTATTGTAAGGGAATCCGTCCCCACCCCTGTTGCGCACGCAGTGTGGCAGCACTTCCTGTGGACCGGCCGCGGGCGGGCCAGACTCCGTGCCCGGCCGCAGGGAGGGGGCTGATAATCAGATAATATCTCTCTCTCTCTCTCTCTCACACACACACACACACACACACACACACACACACACAGATGACGACGCCGGGGGTGGGACGGCGCAGCATCCCAAAGTGGGGGTCGGAGGGACGCTGCGGGGGGCAGCACAGGAGGGAGCGAAAGAAGAGGTTCGATGGACGCGACCTGAGCGCAAATTCCCAGGAAGGCAGACAGGGCGGGCGGTCACCCCCAGGCACACACCTTCTCTACCAACAGGTTTCTCTCAGCCTCAGCCACGCGCTGTCCAGTTTCTGCCCATCCGGGGGAACACACCTCTGCAAAGTCCCCTTTCGCCCCCCGCGCCCGACAACTGACCGCCTTTCTGACCCTCGCTCCAAAGCAAACAGCCTGTTCTCTTAGACAGGCTGTCCCGTCACCGGGTGCCCACCTGGCTCTCCCCGGCCTCCGCGAAGCCTTGCTCCATCTCAGGTGCACACAAGGAACTGCAAACTGTCATCGCCGGCTGAGCTCTTTGGCTTCACAACAAGATCTAATTTCTGACCCTGAGAATTTACCTCCAACCTCAGCAGCACAGCAAAAAGGACTCGGAACCTCAGCCGCCCTCCCTCCCTCCCCCTGGCCTGGAAACCGGCCCTGGGAGCCACGGCTGTCCCCGGCGCTGTCCCCGGCACTGGCCCCGCTTTGGATGCTGGGGGAGCACCAGGGCTGAGAAGGCAGCAGAACTTCTCTGCCCAGAAAAGAGTCTCAGCCATCAGCCACTTCAGCCTCTCTGCCGCCCCATGGACAGATGCACAAACCCAAGGGCCCCGGGCCCTGGCACCTGTGTTGTGACCCCAGGACACCCAGGTCCCCTCAGAGGCTGCGAAACAGGTCACCGGAGGCCGGGGCGGCCACACTTCCCATGACCTGCCTTCCGTGTCTACTCTGCCGCGCATGTGCCACCAAGTGTAATGACGTGGCTCCAATCTTATTCCAAAGTTGTCCCAACCTCCCAAGCCATTCCCTCTGCCTTGGTCTCTTTCCGCAAACCGTGACGCGTGCCCAATGCACTTACCGCTGACGCAGTCTCCTGTTTTCACACCCATTTTCCTCATCGCTGCTGCAAACAAAGCCACTCTTTGCCGCAACTCTTCAAAAGTCACCTTCCCAATTTCCTCTTTGCCTTCTCCTGGAAGAGACAGAGGACCCATCAGACCCTGCCACCCCACGGAAAAGCAAGGCGTGGAGCCGCAGACGCGGATGGAGGCGCGCCCGGCCACCTGCAGGGCAGGGACACGTGTGGGAACGTTGCCTGGGCAGGGAGCACAGAACGCGGCGCGGTGTGCTCGCCGCCAGGGAAAGGAAGGCCAGGCGAAATCAGCCCGTGAAACGCGCTTGCAGAATTGGCCATTTGAAGGCTTCTTTACTGGTGAGAATGTTTTTATTCACTGGAGAGTCCTTTGATTTTAGTTACAGTTTCTTTTCTTTTCTTCTTTTTAATTTTTCACGTTGAACTAACTACAGATTCCCGGGAAGTCGCAAAGACAGAACAGAGAAGTCCCCTGGGCCCTTCACCCAGTTCCCCAAAGGGTGGCACCTTCCGTAGCTCTCGCACGGCGTCAAGCGGCAGACTGACCCCGCGCAGCATTAGCGAGCACCGCTCGGTGTCACCGGACGGCAGTCCCTGTGACCGCCACACAGGGGCCCAGACGCCCCCTCACCACCGAGCCCCTCCTTCCGCCACCTCGTCCACCCACCCCCCCAGCAACCCCGCCCTTCCACCATCGCTAAAAACTCCCTCAGAAACGCCCCAAGTGCGGCCGCGCGGCGGGGGCCGTCCGACCCGGGCTTTCTCCAGGCAACGCCGCGCCCTCAGGACTCGCCCCAGCCGCCGCACGCGTCCACTGTTTGTGCCTTTCGGCGCTGAGCAGCATTCCACCTCTGGGGTGGTTTTATAAAACGTTTTTTCAGATTATAAAGACAGTGGAAACTCTCGGTAGAAAACTTCCACAATGCAAAAAAAAAAAGAGAGAGAAAATAAAATAATCACCCTCACTGGCCTCAAAGAAACACACATTAAATCAAAGAGATGCTCTTGAATGGTTTTTACCCAACAGAGCGGTAACAACAGGAGACGGGGTGCAGGCAGGCAGCCTCCACGGCGGCCCTGGCATTCTGCTCCCGTGGGGGTCCCGGGACACCACTGGGGCACGACCGGTCCCCCCGACAGGACGCTACGGAAATGACAGCGACTTCCGAGCCTCGGTCATAGAAGACACCACAGTCCCCAGCTGGCTCACTGCGGGGGAACCAGCTGCCGCGTCGTGAGGCCACTCAAGCAGCCCGTGGAGAGGCCACGTGACGGCAAGCGGACACCGCCTGTCTGTGGCCACGGGAGCGCACCGCCTTGGCCACGGATCTCACGGCCTGAACAGCCTGCACGCTGCCCGCAGGCGAGGCTCTGGTTCTAAGCAGGAATGCGCGTCAGAAGCAGCTGTGAGCTTCGGAAATCCGCACAATCCCATCCCTGGAAGGCGTTCTCTAGGGAGTCACCGTAGGCCCTGGGCGGCGCACAGGGTTGCAGCGGAGAGTTATGCATATTTCCCGTGCCAAGGACAGCTGGAGGGTGAATGTGTACACATGTGCGCAGCGTGTACACATGTGCGCAGCGTGTACACATCTGTATCTCCTGGTACACACTCAGGAGAATTCAAAGCTGGGCTTCAAAGAGATACTTCACGCTCATGTTCAGAGCAGTATTGTTTACAACAGCTGAGAGGCGGAAGCCACCCAAAGGACCAGGGACAGGGGAGTAGGTCAGCAAAGCGTGGTCCGTCTGCGCGGTGGAACGCCACGCGGCTATGAAAAAGAAGGAAATCCTGACACAGGTCGCAACCTGGATGACCCTTAAGGACACTGTGCTGACTGAAGCAGACCAGTCACCTAAAGGACAAACACTGGATGACTACGCTCCGGGGAAGTATCAAAATCATAGAAAACAGAAAGCAGGCAGGTGGTTGCCAGGGCTGGGGGTGGGGGAGGTGAGGGGTCAGTCCCCAGGGGCACAGAATTTCGGCGGGAGAAGAAGAGGTCTCTACGCAGCAGTGTGAATGTAGCTACTAAGCTGCACTTAAAAATGGCTGAGATGGCAAACTTAATGAGACATGTTTTTTACCAGACGAAGAGGTGCTGTGCTGAGACGCTGCCGGAAAGCCAGAAAGCCACATGCGGTGTCTGAACGCCCTGGGGGGGGGGGGGGGCCCTGGGGGAGGGGGAGGGAGCAGGGAAGTCGGCGTGGCCACCGGGACTCACGTGCAACATAGAGAGCGATTTTGTCGTTCTCTTTGTGCCGCAGGAGGTTTTCCGCATAGTTCAGACGGCTGCCTTTGAACCACTCCGGGACGTCGGCGACCCCTTTGGATGTGTCCACAACCTGGAGAGAGAGTGACAGCAAGCCAAGACACACCCGTGCCTGGGAGCAACACCGCGAGCGTGTGGCCGCAGACCCCGCTGACCAGGAAGCCCAAAGTGCCCTTCGCTCGTTTCACAGACGGTCGCTGAACTGGCCCGAGGCAGGCAGTGTGCCCGCTGGCCGATGACACGGACTGCATGCCCGAAAGCTCTGAGGGGACAGCTTAGGCCTCGCGCCCCAGAAAGGAGGGAAAAAAAGAGAGTCCGCTATGGGAGGTGATGGACGCATTAATTCCACAAAGTACACGTATATCAAATCACCCCGTCATACACTTGAAATAGATACAACTGCATTTCTCAGGTATTCCTCAATAAAGTTTTAAAAATGAATGTAAGGGGGAACACACTCCCATTTAGTTTTCAACAAATATTTGTTAGGCAGCTAATTTAGGAGAGATGCTGAAGGTGTAAAGTACACAAGGCAGATGAGGCGCGTGCCCAACGGCGCGGGGGGCAGGCTCCGGGGCCCACCGGCCCCTCCCCGAGCCACAGTCCCTGGGGTCTCACTGCTGCCTCCTCCCTCTGGGGCTGGCACCGGGACTTTCCCCTCCAAGGGTTCACAGAGGAGCCTTTCAGATGGTTCGCCCCGTAATCAAACCAAAACCACAACAGCCCCGGCTGGTGTGGCCCAGTGGACTGAGTCCCGACCTGAGAAGCAAAGGATCACCGGTTCCATTCCCAGTCGGGGCGCACGCCCGGGTTGTGGGCCAGGTCCCCAGTGGGGGGCGTGCGAGAGGCAACTGGTCAATGACTCTCTCATACATCAATGTTTCTCTCCCTCCCTTTCTCCCTCCCTTCCCACCCCTTTAAAAATAAATAAATGAAATCTTTAAAAAACACACAATTAATCACACTTGGAATACCAGGACTCCTTTTTCCCAGTTATTTACCAATTTATTATATAAGGGGTTGAAAAATCTCTAAAGTCCAGTTTAAAAAAAGTACTGAAACTACTGATAGTTTAAAAAACCAGTAACGTGAATATCCTTAATATCATTGAACTGTACACTTTAAAGTGGTTAAGATGATAAATTTTATGTTACGTGCACTTTATCAAAATTGTACAACTTTTTAATAAAATAAAAATTAAACGATGCCCAACTACTCAGGGCGGCCACGCTCCCTGGACGGGGCCGGGGGTCCACGCGCATCCGAGGCCCCGGCGTTGGCATACGGTTCGTGATCCCGGCACAATTTCCTGCCACCGCTCCCACACGCTGACTCCCCCACTGACGTGAGGCTTCGGAGGAAGACGCGATGCGGCCTTCCCAAACAGCAGCACCTCCCCTCGGAACACAGCCAGAAAAAGGGCAATGCAGCACAAGGTCTCTACTTACCTCATCATACACGCATGAAGAGATAATCCCACTGAATTTCCAGAATTCTGCCCAGAAGTCGGAATATGAGTCGACTGACCATTGGTACAGGTCATGATAATTTTCTAGAAGTAAAACAAAAGGCCACAGAGCTCAGGTAAGTCTCAGGAGGAAAGTCTCAGGGGTTCAGTAATGAGACGGACACCCCTGAGGGTGTGTCCCCCGCATGGAGTGTCTGAGTGGCTCACAGGCGTCCGATGAGAAACGGGCAGCGGGCGGGGGGTCTGAAACTTCAGTGAAGGAAACTCCCCGCCACTCGTCCCCAAGGGGAACAAAGGCAACAAGGCAGCGACTTTGTGTCTTAACCAGCGGGCCCAAGTGCAGGGACACAGGAGCCACAAGGCTTGGGCTCAGTCCTGGCTTGGCCACTTATTAGCTGTGCGACCTCAGGCAGTGACTTTGGCCCGTACTGTGTCTCGGGTTCCCCATCCGAGAAATGGAGACGATAAGCACCCCCCTCTTCGCGGGGCTGCCGGGAGGGTTTCAGCGAGCACGTGCAGAAAGGCTTAAAGTGGGGCCCAGGCGGGACCAGCCCACATGGAGGGCCAGCCCGCCGCACCCCAGACAGGCTCCGGGGGCGGGGACCTCAAACGCGGGGCTGCAGAGGGCCTCTCACCCAGCGCGGCGTTAGGGGGCCGGCGGCGGGGGTGCAGATTATCTATTTATTTTGATTTTTGAGTAAGCAATCCAGTCACATGACTCGAAATTACAAAAGTATAAAAGGCCACATGGTAAACCTAACTGTGTCACGTGTCATAGAGATCCGTTTACCGGAGAGGCCATGGACTGAGTAAACGCATCCTCTCCGGCTCTGGCCCTGTGCGAGCTGCGCGTGCCAGGCTCTGACCTGCGGCCTGGAGAGCCTCGCGCCCTCGCGCCTTGTCGACCTCCGAACGTGTCAACAAGACAGACTGGCACAGGCTGGCGCCCTGGGCAGACAATAACAGTGGGCAGATGGCCCACAGGCTGCCCAGAGCCTAGTACAGTGGTTAAGCCGGATCTGGTCACCATCCTCGGGCAACTGCAGATTGAACCATCCTCGCTGTTCCCAGCCCGGCGGGGGGTGGGGTGGGCAGGGAACATACACCGAAGAAGAGACACAGCGATCGGCCCTCTGGCACTGTCACGTCTCCCTGCGCACCAGCAACTGTCCCTAGTCATGCTGGACTTGGGAGCAGACACTGGGAGGGAACCCAGAGAAAGTCGAGGGGGCAGAGCTGCCACAGGGACGGAGCGGGACTGCCCCAGAGGTGGCACAGCCGAGCTCAGGGGACAGGGTCTTCAGGGGTCGGAGCTCAGGCAGGAAAGGGAGGCCAGTTCACAGAAGGGGCGACCGCATGCCCCCCAGCCCCCCAAGCCCCACGAGAGCACCCGCAGCCCCTCCTTGTCCATGCCGTCCAGGGCCTGCAGAGCAGGTCACCAGGCGTGCGGGGACAGCGCGCCTGCCAAGCTGAGGGCAGCCCCGACGCTAGACATCGTGCTTGGGGACCTCAGGCAGGCCATTCGCTCCTCTGGGACTCAGCTTCCCGTGACTGTCGCCTTGAAACCGACTGGAGAAGGCCACGGATCCTTCTGCGCCCGTGCAGACTTAACCCTGCGTGTCAGAGCCAGGCTGGGTGACCTGCACTCGAGCCTCAGCTCTGTCCCTTACTAGACAGTGACCTTAGACGAGGGCTGCACCTCTCTGGGCCTCAGCACCTCTTTGTAAAATGGCATGAGGTGTTTGGAAAGGCCCCTGGCAGGGTCCGCCAGACAGCAAGAGCTCCAAGGCGGCGTTACTCCCCTAATGAGAGGGTCGTACACGCAGCATGTCCCCCAGGGCCTCGACAAGGAGCCTCGCATCCTGTGCGCACATGCCGGCCGCCCCTGAGCAGGTCCGCCTGTGCGTGCAGGGAGTCCCCAGTGAGCTCTGCTAGGAGTAGTGACAGGAACCGACCGACGATGGCCCCGGTGGTGGAAGAGAGATTCTGTAACTCCACCGAGGGTCTGCCGCTCCTGAACTGCAGGGGTAGAAACACCACGCCGACCTTGGTCTGGAAAGACAGGCTGGTGGAGAGGCGGCCAGGCTGGGGAGCCCCACCCCGCCGTCCACCCTCAGGGCAGGGGCGAGGCGGAGGCGGAGGCGGAGGCGGGAGGAGGCGCGCCTTACTCTCTGCACATCAGGTCACCACGCTGCTCAGCAGGTGCGCCTGCTACACACAGCCGCTGCTGGGGGCCCAGAGGGGACAAGTTCAAGTGTGCTGGTTTCAAGCAATAAGAATGCTCAGAAATAAGTGAAAAGGCAGAGCAGGATGCCGGTCCCAATCATGCGCGTTTGGGGAGCAGAGGCAAAAGAAAGTGGGCAGAGGGAAGACAGCGTCTGGGCTGGGTCTTGGAGCGAAGTCCAAAACCTCCAGGGCCAGGCCTGCGGGAAGGAGGAAGCAGGTGAGGTTAGCTGCAAGCCTGGAAGAGCAGAAAAAGCCAAAATCAAGCTCTACACACCCCGCACCCCCAAGAAGGAGCCCCCCTTGGCTTGGCTGATGGCTGTCACATGGGCACACAGACCCAGCATCTTAGGGTGAGGGGGATGGGTTTTCCAAAGAAGTTGGAAATCTTGCTTTTCCTACCTGGTCTCCCAGCATGGGAGCCCCCTGAACTAAGTCTGCAGGTCCATTGTGGCCCACAGGCCACCAATCCACCTCCTGCAACCTCATGCCCACCCTGTGACACACATGGCCCATTTTACAGATGAGGAAACAGGTTTGGGGCGATCCAGAGGCTTCGACCTGATCACACAGCTAGTAAGTGGTAGAGCCGGTTCAAGCCCATGCTGTCAGATAACAGCTTGGTCTCACCCATCTGACAGGGCTGCCCGAAAGTGAAATGATTCCATAAAGCTATCAGCTGCTACCTAAAGGCCCCAAGAGTAGTAAGACCGGCCTGTCTCCAGCTGCTCAGTCTCTGGTGAGCAGGAGGGAGGGAGAGGGAGGGAGCTGCATGGGCCAAGGGCAGGGGCTTGGTGGAAGCTGCCAGGTGCACTGTTTGCAATTCCATGGCCAACAAGGAGCCACTGTGAGCCTCGGAACCAAGGAGGGTCAGAGTCAGACCTCTGGCAACACGAGCAGGGTGTACTGAATGCAGGAGAGAAAGGGGAAGCAGGAAAACCAACCAGTGTTCGGGGAGGAGAAAGCTGGGGCCCCAGGAGAGGTGCAGGCACCAGGGTGGAGCAGGAATGGAAGAAGCCAGTGCGGTGGCCGCAGACACCCCGCGCAAGGCTGAGGACAGATCACCACTTCCGTGAGGCTGACCGAGGACAGTGATGCCAGCAACAAAGTCACAGGCATTGCTGCAGGCAGCTGAGGGGCAAGAGGGGAGGAAAAGCCAGTAGGAGCTGGAAACCCCAGAAGCCGAGAAGCGCGTGAGAGGTCCCGCAGGTAGGGGGCCAAGCTAGTAAGAGCTGGGGGGAAGCACATACAAGTGCTTCCTTGTAAAGGGGTCCTCTTCTGTCCCACCCACACCCAGCCTGGTGGCGTGGGAGGCAGGGTGGTGGTTGGCAGGAGGCCCCTCCAGGTGTGCCTGGGGCTGGGAGGGTGAGCGCGAAGGAAGGGCGAAGGAAGGAGTTCTGCCCCAACCCCACAGACAGGTTTCCACCTGACCATCCTCTCCAGCACCGGCACCGAGAAATAACTCGCTGGCCTTCCAGCAGGGTCAGCCCAGGGAGGGATGAGAGGGGAGGTAACAAGAAACAGCAGGAGGTACTGCTAGCTGGCTAGCGACCCCCACAAACAGAGGGGAGGAGCTGCAAGGCAGAAAGGCCCACGTGTGGGAGGAAGCCCCAGGCTGGAGCACAAGACCCCAGGGAGTACCTAGCCTCCCAAGGAGGAACCCTCGCAAGTAAGGGACAGCACGGTGCAGTGAGGGGACCTTTCCAGAAGAGGACACCTCACGCGCAGGGAGATGCTGCAGCGAGGAGTCCAGCACCCTGAAAGCAGGGAGGTGATGCCCCGAACAGAGGAGGAGGCAGACCCCACCCCCGGTCTGAGGTGCCCCATCCCCTGGATAGGGACGCAAGTCCAGCGGCTCCTCCAACCCCAGAAGAGGGAAACTGAAAAATGGGAGACCCTTCCAACGACTAGGACGGGCCGCGAGAGCAGCGCCCAGGAAAAGGGGGCGCCGGGGCCCCAGGAGGCGGGACCCTCTGCCAGGTGGTCCCTCGGACCCCGAGGGAGGTGGCCGGGGAGCCCCCGGGCAGCCGCGCTCACTCACCGAGCGCCAGGCCCCAGGCAGCGCCCACGGCCTCCCGGAATTGGTCCATCAGCGTGATCTTCTTGCTGTTCGGCTCCCACATCACCTGGCCCTCCAGGATCTCGTCCCGCCCGGTCCGCGGCTCCTTGGACATGGTTGCGGCAGGGGCGCGGCGGGGACACGGGCGCGGCGACAGCCGAGGACGAGAGCAGGTGGCAGGGCGCGCCTCCAAAACTGAGACTGAACCGGCGGCGGCCGACCCCCTTAAGACACGCGGCGAGCCCCGCCCACCAAAGAACACCGCCCACAGAAGACCCCGCCCACCGGCATCTTGACTTTTTCAAAATACCGTCCCGTGTGTAACCCTCCGCGGGCGCGGCGCCTCGCAAAAGAGTGCCAATCTCCGGGTCCCCGGCGGCCTGGATTCGGACCTGCTCTGCCGCGGTGGGTGGGACCGCGCAGGCGCGTGGGGGGTTGAAGCAGCCCCCGAAGCCAGAGGGAGCTGGTTCCATCACAGTTCCTTGATTCACTCTTGTGTTTTTTTTAAAATATGAGATCCTCAGGTTGTTCATTCTTTTTTTCTTTCTTTTTTTTTTTTAAGATTGTGTTTATTTATTTTTAGAGACGGGAAGAGAGGAAGAAAAAGAGGGAGAGAAGCATCAATGTGTGGTTACATTTCGTGCGCCCCCCACTGGGGACCTGGTCTGCAACCCTGTGCCCTACATGGGGAATGGAACTCTTTGGTTCGCAGGCTGCTCTCAATCCACGGAGCCACACCAGCTTGGGCTTGATTTTCTTCTAACTGCGGGCATTGACTGAGCGCCTGCTGGGTACCAGGCACTGTGGGGCCTTTGAGGGTTCAGCCGTGAACAAAGCAAAAGTCCTGCTCTTTGAGCAGCACGTAAGGAGAAAGGGGCAGGTGTAGGAGGGAAGAGAGACAGACAATGAACAAATAAGCACATCACATGTATGTCATGCACAGGATAAGGAGCACGGTGATATACACGGTATACCAGTAAGCATCATGATATACATGGTAGAAGAATGCGTAGAATACTATTCATATGGAAGAAAGAAAGCAGGGGGAGGTAAAGGAGGTTTCCATTTAAATAGAGGTGTCTGGGCAGATTCCATTAAAAAGGTGACTTCTACCAATGACTTGAAGAAGGTGACAGGCGTGAACTTTTCAGGATGAAGGTGGGGGGGGGGGTAGAGATTCCAGGCAGAGGGAACAGAAGGTGCTAAGGGTGTCGGGCACCGTTAGAGAACTAAGAAGGAGGCCTGTGTCTTTGACTTAAGAGACCTGGGGTAAGAGAGAAGGCCAGCGAAGGAACAGGTGCCAGCCCCGGTGCGTCCCGCCCCCCACCGCCCCGGGGTGTCTGAGAACAGGAAGGTGTGGAGTGCCGTAGGAATGTGCTCGGACCTGGCTCTTTATTGACGGTACTCCTACAGGAGCTGGGCACCCAGTGCTGGGGACCGTCCCTATATTCCCGTCGTCACGCATTCTCGCAGCGACCCCACCAGCTCCCCCCACCTGCAGTACTTTGTAGAGTTGAAGTTTCAGGAAGCCACCTCCCCCCTCCACCCTTTAAGCAGTTCCCATCCCCCCAGTCAGTGTAGATGACCACAGCTCCTGACTCAAAACGGGGAGCTTGTTGTGTAGATGCGGCTTCCTGCGTAGCCCTGCCCCCTGCCCTCTGAGCCCCGGGCAGCTGGTTCTGTCTCTGAGTTAACTCCTTTGTGAAGGCACGGAGGGGGTGACCCAGGAGGAGGTTCGTTTTTGAAGGATTCCTGTGTGGATGTTCATCCCTTCGACTCGAGAATGCAGGTTCCACAGGAGCAGAATCCTGGTCGCGCTGGTTCACGGCAGGGCCCTCAGAGCAGAGGCTTGAGAAGGGTGTGTTCGCTCATTCATTCATCATTCGTTCATTCAGAAATGGGTCGCACGTGCCTGCCGGGGCCGCGGCTCCAGAGTTCCGGTGTGTAACCCAGGATCCCAGGCCTCAGGGGGCATGCAGATGAGTCTGACCGACGGGTGGGCCAATTCTCCTGGAGCCGGGGAGGGTTGGGTTTCTACTCCTGATGCCACTGGATTCATTCTTAATCCCTTTGCCCACTCAGCCGGGCACAGGGAACCCCGGGGAGAGAAGGTAAGGTCGGTGAAGGAATGGGCGCTCCGTCGCTGCCCTTGCACCCTTCCCCGCACACACACGAGGCTGCAGAGGTGCTTCTCTGGGCCCCACGCTGCTACTACCCCTTATCCTTCCTAGCAAGATCAGAGTGTGGGGGGTGGGTGGAGAGGAACAGCTTCCAGAAAGTTCTTCCCATTGAAAATAGGAACAGAGCTGGAAGGGCCTTTCTTCTCCAAGAAAGCTGCTGCAATTCTTGCTTTCCCCTTGCACCTGTGGCTTAGTTTGGGTTGTAGGATTCGGATGGATGCCACGCATACACCACGCTCCTTGCCTGCGTTTCCCCACCCCATTCCAGGCGCTTCGAAACTTCAAACAGGGGGTAGAAATATGCCAAGCCAAGGACACAGACATTTCCTTCAGAGCAAGGGCCGCCTCGTCATTTCTTGGAATTTGCCCTGCGTGGCCCTCTGTGGATAAGCCCACCTGTGACATTTCTCTTTCTTCTTCCCACTGTGGTGTGTGTTAAGTCTCATTTTCACATTTCAAAGTCCTCGCTGTTCAGTTGGCCATTAACCAATACAGCCAACTGTGCGAACAGGTTGAAGCCTCTGGAGTGTGTTGAAAGTCGCTTCATGGGCAAGGCCTGAGTATTTGGAAAGAGCAAGGAGTCGTTCCAGAAGGCCCACGCTGGTGGTCGGAGAAGGAGCGGCAGCCCCGGAGGAGGGGGGAGGCCAGGGTTATCTCAGGAGAGGCCACATGCTTTTGGACAGTGTGGCTCTCGTTCTCTTAGCAAAGCCTGCCCTGCTATTTCTTTGTGCACATAGAAACATGTCACAGTGCTTACACAGCTGGGGAAAAAACGAAGTTCTTGTCTTAGGGAGAGGGACGGGAAAGAAAACAGCCTGGTGGGCTTCCTGCCCCCCGACTCCCCGTGAGAATCCAGCGTGCCACCCCCCGGGCGTCTCCTGCGCAGGTGGTGCCCTCTGCAGGGACTCTATGCTCAGTTGGCTTCCAGACAGTTTCATCATGGGCTTACATGGCCTTTTTTTTTTTTTTTAACTGAGCCTTTGATAATAAAACGAGATGGGCTTCGCTGCCATGGGAATGAATGTGTCCTGATGTGATTAAATAAAATGCATTTTACTCATCTTCCTGATTACGGCACACCAAATCCAAAAGGAGCTGCATTTTAAAATGTATTCTTTGATGTTCCTTTACGTCGCTGGAAAAATTTAGAAGTATCGGAAGATCCTACATGTTTAGTTAAAATTATCAGTAAATGTCACTGCTTTGGTCGTTCCAAACTTAGAGCATTTCAACCCAATGCAAGCTCTCCGCTTAGGAGAGTTGTCCAAGCCAGAGAGAGATGAGCGAATGGCGGGTAGTCACTAAAGGAGGCTTTGGTTGGGGGTCGGGTTGCTGTTTACCCCCGGGGCACAGCACGACAGTCCAGAACCGGGGTGAGTTCCGAGCCAGCCTCTGGTGCTGCTGTGGCGGAGTGAAGACCAACTGAGCATGCGCGTGGCCGCCCCGGCCGTTGTAAGGCCCGAGTTCGTATGAGGTTGAGGATCTATAAATTGAGCGCCTTAGACGCATCTGGACACCCACTCCCCTTGGAAATGCTTGGTATACCCCAGGGATCAATATGCCCCAATTTAAAGACGGTCGCAGAGCTCCCTTTTCTCCTCTGCCCGTGCTTGGCCCGAGGTCCTCCGGAGACCGAACTCTAGCCAATGGGACCGAAGGGGCATGTGGCGGAGGCGGGGGCTCCGGACCAGTTTTCTTCTGATGAGCCAGGTCCTTTCGCAGGGAGCTGTGACAGACACTTCGTGACCCCGAGAGACGGCCCGGAAGAGAGCCCCCACGCAGAGGGTGCGGGGCGCGGGGAAAGCGTGGCGCCTCTGCTGAGCCACCAGCGCAAGCCCGTGACGCGCACTGGGCCTCCAGTCAAAGGAACAGGGCCTGACGTCTTGGCTTCAGCCTCCGGCGGCGGACTTGCCACAGCTGCTGCCAAAGGTGTTGCGGCTGAGGCAGCCAGCAGAGTCACTCCACGCGTCCCACCCCCGGCCGCCCGGGGCCTCTTCCTTTCAGTGCATCTGTCGCCCTGGCCAGTTGGCACAGACCCCCTGCTCTGAGACGTGAGGCTATCAGTAGTCACCAGGGAAGGCCAGACCCCAAGCCAGCACACCCGGATCCCAGCTCCCCAGCCTCAGGGTTCCTCGGGCCGGCAGAGGCGAGAACTGAAGACGCTCCGCGCCAGCGAGGTGAAGCACCTAGCCCAGGGCCCATCGCTGCGAAGAACCTTCCAGAGGGCGGAGCAAGCGCCGAGGCGGACTTGGCACAGGCAGATGGTGCCAGCCATGGGGGGCCTTGGGGGGCCCCGGGTAAAGACTTTAGGTTTTATTCAAAATGTGATTGGAAGCCATTTGGAAAGCTCTGAGTGGGCCGTGACGGGACTTCGATTTCCAAAGGATGGGGTGGGGGTGGGGCAGGCAGGGCACAATCAGAGGACCTGTTAGGGGGGTTTTGCAAAAGTCCCCCATGGGCTGCCACAGTGGCTCGGACTGGAGTGGGAAGGTGGGGATGAAGCCAAGGGGGGTGGGCAGATGGATGGATGGGCAGAGAGATCTTTAAACATCTGTATAGAGAGAGAGAGACTATGGAAGGCAGAACCGTGTGCTGCTGGGTTAGAATTTGGGCCTTGGAGCCCAGACAAGAGAAGGACAAATTCTAGCATGAGAGTGATTCTCCCCAAGTCAAACCTAAAGGAGCAATGAGGGGGGACTACCGGGAAAGGGGAGAAGACCCGCACGAGCAAGAAGGTGGCCGCCATTAGCACGAGAGGCTCTCCCAGGCCCCTCCCGCGGGAGAGGAGGGTATGATTCCACTCAGATGCGCAGCCAAGGGCCCTGAGTGTATCAGGTGAAAGGGTGTTTGAGGATTTCTGTTCCTGGCCTCCATGCAATGGTTGCTGCAACCTCCCAATCTGCCCACAGGCCTGTGACGATGGGGCAAACACCAGCTGCTGAGGGCCAGAAGTGCCTGGCGTGAGATCTTGGATTTCAACCTCCCCAGCTCCTCTCCAGCTCCACAGACGAAGCAGA